GAAAGGAATTGTTTGCTCTATTTCTCTCTCACTGAGTCTGTTCATGTAGAGGAAAGCTATTGATTTTTGTGTGTTGACCTTCAATCCAGCTACATTACTGAATTAGGTTATTAAGTCTAGAAGACTTTTGATGGAGTTGTTGGAGTCTTCTATACAGAGTATTGTGTCATCTGCAAATAATGACAATTTGAGTTCTTCATTTCCTATCTTTATTCTTTTTCTTTCTCTTTTATAACTGCCGTGGCTAATGTTTCCAAAACTATGTTGAACAGGAGTGGTAATAGTGGACATCCTTGTCTTGTTCCTTATTTTAGTGTGAAGGATTTCAGTTTTTGAGCAATTAGTATGGTATTGGCTCTTGGTTTTTCATAAATGGTTTTCATCATATTAAGGTAGAGACTATCTATTCCAATTTTTGTAGGATTTTTATCATAAATACATGTTGGATTTTGTCAAATGCTTTTTCTGCATCTATTGAGATGATCATATGGTTTTTGTCCTTCGTTCTATTAATATAGAGTATTACATTGATTGATTTGCATATGTTGAACCATCCCTCAGCCCTGGGATGAATTCCACTTGGTCAGGGTGTACTATCTTCCTGATGATCTTATGCATACTATTTGCCAGTATCTTAGTAAGGATTTTTGCATCTATGTTCATCAGTGAGATTGGACTATAGTTCTCTTTTTCACTTGAGTCTTTCTCTGTTTCAGTGATCAAGGTGATGCTTGCTTCCAAGATTGAATTTGGGAGTATTGCTTCCTTTTCAATTTCACTGAAGAGTTTAAACAAAAGTGGCAGTAGTTCCTCTCTGTCTTGTAGAATTCAGCAGTGAAGCCGTCAAGACCTGGGCTTTTCTTAGTTGGTAAGTGTTTAATTTCATTGATTGATAGTGGGTTGTTTAGAATTTTTAGGTCTTCTTCATTCAACTTTGGTAATTCATACTTATCTAGGAATCTGTCCATTTCTTCTGTGTTTTCCAACTTATTGGCATATAGGTTCTCAAAGTAGATATTGATGATCCTCTGGATTTCTGCTGGATCCGTTGTAATTTCTTCCTTTTCATTCCTAATTGCATGGATTTGGGCCTTTTCTTTCCTTTTTCTGGTAAGGCTGGCTAAGGGTTTGTCAATTTTGTTCATTCTTTTGAAGAACCAACTCTTGGCTTCATTGATTTTTTGTATCATTCTCTTAGTCTCCATTGCATTGAATTCTGCTGTAATCTTTACAATTTTTTCCCTTGTATGAGCTTTGGGTTTGTCCTGCTCTTCTTTTTCTAGAAGCTTGAGGTTCAGCATGAGGTTGTTTAATTGGGCTCATTCTGTTTTCCTAATATGATTATTCACTGCTATGAATTTCCCTTGGAAGACTGCTTTGATTATTTCCCATAGATTCCACTATGTTGTATTGTCATTGTAGTTTCATTGAAGGAACTCTCTGATTTCTTCTTTAATTTCCTCTGTGATGTATTGGTTATTTAGAAGTGTGTTGTTCAATTTCCATGTGTTTATGAAATTCTTGCAGTTTCTTTTGCTATTGATCTTTAATTTCATCGCACTATGGTCTGATAATATACAGGGGATAACTTCAATTCCTTTGCACTTACTTAAACATGTTCTTTGAGTGAGTATTTGGTCTATTTTGGAGAATGACCTGTGTGCAGCTGAGAAACATGAGTATTTTGATTTTGTGGGGTGGAACATTCTGTAAACATCTGTTAGGTTTATTTGTTCAAGAGTTTGAGTTCCAGTATTTCTTTTTTTTTTTTTTTTGTCTAGCTGATCTGTTTGTGGCAGTGGGGTATTAAGGTACACCACTACTATTGTATTCATGCTTATATTATTTTTTCTGGTTATTAGTATTTGTTTTATATAGTTGGGTATAGTAGTGTTTGATGCATAGATATTTATGATTATCATCCCTTCCTCTTGGATTATTCCTTTTAGAAGGATGTAGTGTCCTTGTCTCTCTTCATCAGTGTTGACTTGAAATCCATTTGATCTGCAAAGAGGATAGCTACTCCTGCTTTCTTCAGGTTCCTGTCACATGGAGTATTATTTTCCACCCTTTAATGTTCAGTCTATGAGTTTCTTTTTAAATTAATTTTATTTCTCCTATGCAGCATATTGTTGGATCTTGCTGCTTGACCCATTCTGCTTGTCTATTTCTTTTGACTGGTGAATTGAGACCATTAACATTGATGGTTATAACTGATACATATTGACTTATATATGTCATGACTTTGTCTTTTTGTTGGATTCTCCCCCTTTGTATTTGGTTTCTTGTTGTGCCCAATAGATTAATTCTGCTGGGCTTCCTGGAGACGTGAACCTCATTGTCATTTCCTAGGATATTGTCTAAAATTTTTCGGAGTAGTGCTTTGGTATTCATGAAGTTCCTAATGTGCTCTTTGTCATGAAAGTATCTTAATTCTCCATCAATTTTGAAAGATAGTTTTTCAGGGTACATCAATCTGGGTTGGAGGCTCTTTTCCTTTAGGGCTTGAAATATGTTAATCCAAGCTATTCTTGCCTTACATGTTTGCATTGAGAAGTCCGCTGTGATTCTGATGGGATTTCCTTTGTATGTGATTTGTTTCTTTTCTCTAACTGCTTGGAGAACTTTAATCTTCTGTTGGGTTTCTGGAATCTTAACTATTATATTCCTATATGTAGATTTTTTTTTTAATCAGGCTAGTTGGAGTCCTATATGCCTCACTTATCTGTATTTCAAGTGCTTTTCCCCTGCTTGGGAAGTTTAATGCCATTACTGCTGAGAACAGTTTTTATGTCATCTGCGGTCTCTCCTGTTTCTTCACTGACTCCTATCAGTCTTATATTATTCTTCTTTGCACTGTCTAGTAGCTGCTGGATTGATTTCTCAGGTTCTCTTACAATTTTGAAGCAATTTTTCTTTTCCTCATCACTACTTGCAATCTTATCTTCTATATCTGAAATTCTGTCCTCACATTGGGTCATTCTGCTGCATAAGCTTTTAATGTGGTTTTTAATCTCCTGGAAATCTGTAATATGTTTTTGGATTTCATTTGTTTCCTGTGTTGGGATTCCATGATGTTTCTCAGCTCCTGTATTTTTTTATTTGTGTCCTCTCTAGATTTATTAATCATGTCTTGCAGTATGGGCACGATCTCTGCTGTTATCTGAGAAACTATTTCTGATTTCATTTTTTCCATATTCTCTTTTGTTGCCAGTTCAGGGTGGTTGCCAGGTTGGTGAGTATCAGATTGTTTCACCTTGTTTTCCTTTGGGAAAGGAAGTGGTGTTTTTGGTTATCTGGATATCTGGTTTTGAGACTTGTTTACATGGCTTCTCATTTCAAAGGGATGGAGCAGATTTTCTGCTGTCACCCGTGAGGCTCACCTAGCCCTCTGGGTTGACAGCTGTGGTATGGGACCCTGAAAGGCTCAGCTGCTTGGCACTGGGGGCCTCTGCTCCTCTGTGCTGGGGGCAGTAGTATGGTGATCCAAAAGGCTCGCCATCTTGGCACTGTGCAGGGCTGTGCTCCTCTGCACTGGGGGTGATGGTACAGTGACCAAAGGCTCAGCTGCTCGGTGCTGGGGACCTCTGCTTCTCATTACTGGGGGTGGTGGTGGGATGGCCAAAAGGCTCATCTCCTTGGCACTGGGACCCTCTGCTCTTCTGTGCTGGAGGCAGTGGTATGGCAGGCCAAAAGGGTCTCCTCCTCAGGACTGGGTGAGGCTCTGCTCCTCTCCCATTTCACAGTGTTAATAAATGTGTGGAAGCCCAGGACCACCACTTTGAGCACCTCTGATAATTGCACAAGCCAAAGGTAACTTGTATTAATCTTATGATATCTCAATGAATGTAGTATTAAAATATTTACACAAATTTTTCTTTTCCTAAAATGTGTATATATATTTTAACGCACTCTATATTTCACATATAATCTCCAATTCACACATTGTAATTAAGTTATAATGAATGCTAACATTTTTAAAAATTACAGTAAAAACCACTTTGCTTTAATTTCCCCCCTACACTCCACCACACTTGGAACACACTCATCTCATTGTTTTTGCCTCTTTCTAAAAGAGTCTCAGAAGGCCTCTTTTATGAATGTCTTTAGTTGTACTGACCTGGCTGCCTCAATGTCCTGAATGGAATCAAAATTTCCAATCTTTACCTTTCATGGTTATTTTTGAGTAAAAATCAGAATTGAAATCTTTTCCGTTTGTATTAACAAGTTCTAAAAAACTCAAGAATAAATATGAGAAAAATATTGTGTAGAATAATTTGTGTTAATATATGCAAGACAAGATAGACATGTTGACACAAGTCTAACATTAAGAAAGGATATTTAAACAAGACAAATAGAAAGCCTTAGCCAACCATTAATATGAAAAGTAACTGTACAACTCTACATTTAACACATAGATTCCATTCATTGACATCTTAAATGAAAGAGTATTTGATATCACATTTGATCAGTCAATGACGGGATTCTTAGCACAGCAAGAGAGGGAAAGTCTGAAAAAAGGGTTTCAGAAAGATTTACAGGGAAGTGTAACAAGGAAATAATAACCCAGTTACCCAAATAAAGTTTAATCAGGATATTTGAGGCACACTAATGCTCAAGAAGTAAAAAACATAATGAAATACATTAGAGAGTTCTGAAGTATAATAATCTCCAGTCAAAAGTTACAATGTAAATAATTAATTAAATATCTCTGAAAAGGACAAGTGGAACACAAGATAAAAGCAAGAAATATAATCAAACTTAAGCAAAACTATGAGAATTTATCACACAATTTATGAAACAAGAAATTTCCAAAATAAAATTCAAAGTGAAAAGGTGATTCTTTGAGATGTCAGTAACATTAAGATTATTCTAGAAAAAAGTAAGAGGCAGTTGATTATTCAAGTAAACTTCATGTTTTAATCTAATAACTAACTCAAAAATGTTGCAGAGTTGCCCTAGAGGCACCATATAAATTATGGAATTATGTATTTTTCTAACTAATAAAATTTCTTTTTCCCAGAATGTGTTTCATCTCTGAACCCATGCAGAGAATTCCTATCTGATCTTAACAAAATAATGTAGCACCTGGGGGCAAAGATGCAGCCCAGTAGCTGTGCACCGGAGGCCAAGATGGAGAAGACCTCCATGGCCACCATGACCTTCCTCTTGGTGCTGTGGTACACAGGGAGGAAGGTGACCTACACACTGCAGAACACCAGCATGCTGAAGGTCAGGAACTTGGCTTCATTGAATGTGTCAGGCAGGTTCCTGGCCAGGAAAGCCACAGTGAAGCTCAACAGGGCCAGGGAGCCCAGATATCCTAGGACACAGTAGAAGGCAGTGAGGGAGCCCTTGTTGCTGAAGTGGTCATGTTCAGAGTGTGCATCTGTGTCAAGTTAGGGTGGATTTGTTCCCATCCAGATGCCACAGAGAGTGAGTTGGATCAGGGAGCAGATGGGGATGATGTAGTTAGGTGCCCCAATACCAGCAACTGCCTTATCCTTCTGCCTGGAGCAGTGACCTTAAAGGCAAGAACCACAGTGATAGTTTTGGCCAAGACAGTGGAAACACCCACAGTAAACACAACTCCAAATGTAGTCTGCTGGAGGAGGCAGGTGGTTGTGTTGGGATGACCAATGAAGTGTAAGGAACAGAGAAAACAGAAGATGAGGGAGATGAGCAGGGTGTAACTGAGAGCCCGGTTGTTGGATTTGACAATGGGGGTGTCTCTGTACTTCACAAAGAGCTCAAGAACAGCAGCTGTGAGGACAGTGAGACTCAGGGCAGTGCCAACCAGAATCTTCCTCATGGGATCTTCATGTGCCAGGAAAGTCACAGACTTTTGGAGGCAGTGGTTTTGCTGAATTGTGGCATACTGATCATCAGGGCATTTCATACACTGCTCCATATCTACTGAGAACATCAAATTGTATTTTAGTTCAAGTTCATTATTTCTCTCCCATTCATTCAGCCATTCACAGAAGTTCTTAGGACTTCTTGAGCCAAATTGTGCTATTTTCTTTCTGTTTCTTCTTTGTTTTACTTTTGAAAATTTTTCTTCTGTTTCTTAGGCCTGATTACTGAAGTCAGGACCTTTGTACTGAGCTACATCCCCAGCCATTTAATTTTTAAAAAAATTTTGAAATACAATCTTGTTTAGTCACAACACTATCAAGGCTGCACACAAATATGGAATCTTTTTGCCTCAGCCTCCCAGAATGCTGGGACTCCAGGTGTGCATCAACATGCCCTGATTTTCATTTGCTTTTCTAGACACCAAGAAAAGGCATGTTATATTTAGTATCTTTCAATTAATACTGCCCTTTTTTATAGTTCTCTATTTTCAATATGCATTAAAATATATACCTATCTATAGCAAACTTCTATGAGTCATGCTTTCTAGATTTCTTCAATGAACAACCACTTGAAAAACCAAAATAATTTACTACATTCTAGGGATATGATGAATATTACATAGTGCCCACTAGTTTATGTTCTCCAACCTCAACAAACTTTATGGATTTCATGAAAAACAATGTATTGGAATTTGTATAACAATTGGATTGAATCTGTAGAACCAGTTGTAAAACACTACCATCTTTCCGTTGATGATCATGTCATTCATGAACATGCTTTCTTCAACCAATTGCTTTAGTTTTATTGGTAGAAATTATTTGATACTTAAATGTGGTATCTTTCAGAACCCTTATTGCTTTATCTCTATTTAATAGTTCAATAATTGTTAATTTGTATAATATAATCTCTGAATAATTAATGCCTGAGCTGCAGAGATAGGTTATTTTTCACCTTAATTTATGTTCCATCAGCACTAAATTCAATTGTTAATTTATGTGGGTTTTATACTTACACACTAGCACCATAAGAAAATTATCTCAAATAATAATCTACTTTCCCAGTACATGATTACATTTATATGTGTTTCTGAATGTGTTGTATCAGCAGGGACATATAGTATATTGTCCGGTAGAAGGGATCACAAGAAAAATTCTACTCTGATTTTTGCTTTCAAAACTTAACCACAAAATGTGTGGTTTACTTTAGGGTTGTATAAATGTCACATATGAGATGTAAACAGTTTATTCATAGTCTTAATTTATTAAATGTTGTTTTTGTTTATTTGTAAATCATGGAAATAATTTCACCTTTAGTATATTTTTCTTCATTAATTGATATTATTTCTCTTCAAAGAAGTAGTGCAATAACTTATATTTCATAGACTGTATTTGGACATGGGTTCCCTCCTCAGAATGTAAGTCTAAATTTGGAATAGAATACTCCAATTTAGTTTCCAAAGGAAAGTGGCCTGAAATCTTTGCTTTTTGTAATGGCATTATCAGCTGTGTATAACATAATGTACATCTGGCCTCCATCTCAGGCTCCTAGGGCAGAGAAGCTCAGCCAGTCCCAACACCCGGAGGGGGGCTCCCTGCATCCATCCCAGGCTCCTGGAGCAGAGAAGCTCAGCCCATTACAGCACCCAGAAGGAAGCTCCCCCGCTGCCATCCCAGGCTCCTAGGGCAGAGAAGGTGACCTGGTCCCAGCACCTGGAGGGAAGCTCTCCACCTCCATCCCAGGCTCCTAGGGCAGAGAAGCTCAGCTGGTCCCAGCACCTGGAGGGAAGCTCCCTGGCTCCATCCCAGGCTCCTAGGGCAGAGGGGTTGGGCCAGTCCCAGCACCCGGAAGGAAGCTCCTGGCCTCCATCCCAGGCTCCTGGGGCAGAGAGGCTCAGATGGTCCCAGCAGCCAGAAGGAAGCTCCCCTGCTGCCATCCCAAGCTTCGAGGACAAAGAAGGTGAGCCTTGTGGGCACCAGAAGCACCCCCGCCCCATGGAAATGCAAAAACACATAAACAAGCCTCAGCAACAGACTTCCAGATCACCTACAGCAACCCCAAAGGGAAACGAGATGGAACAATCTGATACTCAACCACCTGGACTCTATGAACTGGCAACAAAAGAGGATCTGGGAAAAATGAAATCAGAAATAATTACTCAGATAACAGCAAAGATTGTGCTCATGGTG